ATTTTAGCAAGTGTGGTTTCAGGCACTGTGAGAGATCACTGAGGACAATTACCTAAAACTCCCAGAAACAACTTCTCTAAAATAAACAAGAGGACAAAAACTGTAAGGATGTGAGTACAGGAAGCTGTTACAGAGAGCTGTCAGCAAGACTGGAGTCTCTATGTCTACAGAAGCAGAAAAAGGAATCTAAAATTCAAGTGCAGCTTTTTTTTTTTTTTTTTTCCCTCTAAAGCAGGCACTAACTTAAGAAAAAGACAGACATGAAAAGAGATGGTCATAAAGCTACAAAATGATTAGGCAGAAATAACTCATCAGAATTGCTCAAATGCCAATCTGTAGTTGAAGACATAAGAAAAAAAATCAGCAAGTCTTGTAACCAAGTAATTGGCAGAACTCTTGGCTTAATTTATTACATATTAAAATTTTAACCTTTTAATGTATTTAGGATTAAATAATTAGCAGCAAATATTTAAATTGTAAATTTGTAACAATTTTCTGACATTACTCTTTCTGAAAAAATCTGACTTGTATTATAGTGAGAGTTGAGTATGAGGTTCTGGACAACACAAGGACAGGCTCCTCCAAATCTAATTATTAATGGCATTATTGAGTCCAACCAGATGTTTCACATGGATAAAATTAAGTACACGAATAAATCAAGATCCAAGTGCATGCTTAGATTTGACAGAAGATAAGGAAAGGTGAAACAAAAAGTAATGAATACAGTTAATGAAAAAACGATATATCCTTGGTTGTTAATGTAATTTGAAATATAAAAGTCAAAGTGTTACAGGCCTGTTAAATGATCCCTCTGCTGAGAGACACCTGAATGGGATGTTTCTCATACCACCCTTCCTCCTGGAGTCTGTCTGTCCAAATTTCAGCCAACCTGAATACTAAACCATCCATGGCTTCCCAAGGTAATTACATAAGACATAAGCATACTTTGAGTGTACAAAATCCAGCTAATGAGCTACATTTCTATTAACAATGTCAGGATCTCAATTATTATCCTAATGGATAATTCTTTATGGAAAGGGTGCAAGCAAAAGGTAGTGTGCATGACTTAAAATACAGTACATACTCCTCTCTAAAAATGCAAGATCATTTGCATTTATTCAGCACCAAATCAGACATTAAAGGAGAAAAAAATTAAAATCCAGTATTATAAGAAAAGATAGAAGACACTGAGAAACAAATCTATTTCTAACCAGCAAAAAAATGTTTTTAAGAACAATTTGATCGTAAGTTATTCCTGCAAAAGAATCAAAAGTCTGGAAACACCTGAAAACAAGACTGAGCAGACGGCTGGCTCTGGATCAAGGTGGCACAGAGAAAAATGTGGAGCGTGCAGTTTGCACTCCCTCTACTGGGCACTGGGATTATCCCAAGCAGGCACTCAGAAGAAAGGGACATGTCCGAGCACCCTGCTACTGTGAAATAAAAGCCTTTGTTAATTTTAATAAATTAATAAAAGCTTTTGTTAATTTCAAAACCTCAGAATGTTTATACCCTCAATATGCACTTCCTGTCAGAAACATGACTGGCACTCCAAACAAGGATTTAACTACAGTGAACGTAACCTGTGTAAACACAAAAAACCTCATTTGCCTTTGACCAATACAGGCAGTCTGCCATTTTTTTGTCCGCCCTCCACCCATTTGAAAAAGTAACAGCTCATAAGAAATGCCTTGACTTCTGATCTGCTGGGAGCACAGCAGCAGGAATGTGTGGACTGGGCAGCTGGGATGCATTAATAACTATAAAATCTGCTGCAAGGGATTTGTTTTTAGACAGTCGAAGGATAACCTTTGTTTTTCTCTTCCCTTTCCTCCCATAGCTCCTGAGAGGCAAGCACAAAACACAGGCTACTTGTGCTGGCAGGGTGTGTCACATAGAAATGATGGCCCTCCTTGTAATTAAGACTCTCTGATGGTTTGTGTTTTTCACTCTCATGGAGGAGAAGAGAAAGAAGTGGTTATAGCTCATGTCACTATAAACCATTTTAAGTCAAAGTGTCTCACTGTATAAAGTTCTATGTTTTCCTTCAAGTGACCTTGTATAAGGGAAGTTCTCTAAACCTCCAGAAAGTTCTCCTGTGGTTTGCAAAGCAGTTTGACTTTTCCATTTTTCAGGAAAGATAAAGGTAAAAAAGAACTTTAGAGAAAACAACTTGTGCTAATTGTATAACAGGCTCTGATTGCCAAAGATTTCTGCCTTGAAGGCTTGTGCTCTGTGATATGGAAAATGAAATGAGAAACAATGGAAAGCATGGATGTAATAATAAGGATTGACAAAAGCACACATCTTGTGAGCCAAGCACATATTTCTGGTGTGGAATCAGGCCAGGTAACCACCAATTTCTTGCTCTCAGTGTAATTTACATCAAGCTACACTGCTGGTATATTCACACTAAACTGCAGCATCAAGAATTACTCCAGATATATACAATTATTTGCATTTCTGCCATATCCATGTGTAACTGATGAGCTAAAAAAAGAGTAGCAATGACACATGGCAATCATAAGGCACCCCAGGACCTTTCCTCTTTAAAGTGGCAATTTAAATCTCTGGGGGAATTGAGAGTTATAGTAGAGTTCACAGTAATAAATCTCCAGTTTCATTGTCTCTAGCTAAACCCTTTCCTCTATCAACCTTCTTGATCTCAGTTTGAGGATGGGTAAAGCCTTTACTCCCTCTGTTCCCACACAGAACAGAAACAAAGCACAGAATAGAACCGATGAAAAGGAGGGAAATCAGTGACCACAGAAGCATGGAGATTGAGCATGAGGAAAATGCAGAAAGTCCCGGGAGAATGGACAAGCCCAAGTCCCGAGCCAGGTTGCCAAGTCCCTAATCACCCTGTTTTATACTTGCTAATTAAATAAAACCACTCCCTCCCTGAAAGAATTACTTGCTGTGGTGCAGGATCATAATGACAATTGAAATGAGCAAGTACATAAACAATTCATCTTTACATTCTCCAGTTAAGGATACAGCTACCTCAGAGTGCATCACCAGAACTGCCATCCTATCCAACCACAGAGATGGCACAGACCACCTACAAACCAATTTACACGGCACCCTCTGCACTCAGCCACTTGATTCACATTCTTCCTCTCTGCTTACTCAACACTCCCCTTCATTTCCAGGTGTGCTCATCTCCACACATCAGCAGCACTCACTGTAATCACATCTGTAAAGCTTTGGCAGGACAGGGGGCTGGCAGCCAGGCCTTTGAAGGACAGACAGCCTGTCACACTTCTTCTCTTGGCTTTACAGATACAGAAGATAGAAAAACTTTGCCAGGGCAAGAGCTGCACCTCCAAGGACATGAGGACACATGGACAAAGCCACAATACCTAACACAGGCAACAATGCTCAATTAAAGAGATGTGTGCAGGGTTTCACATGCTGACATGCAAATATTTGACACATGGGGATTTAAAAACCATGGCCTAAGAGATTCTGTTTATTTTGTTCTACCAGACTCCCAATTTGCCATGTTTTTTACATTTCAATAAAGTCATCTGACACATGAATAAAACATAATTTATGCCGTTTCCTTCTGCTGTACAAAGCTCCCTATGTTCAGGTTATAAATTTAAAATAACTCAGCACTAACACTAAATTTGGTTATTTTCCACTGGATAGAAACCCTAGGAATATTTATATATTGTTTACAATGCTTAAGGTAACTCCGTCTGCATTGCTTCATTTTTGAAAGTATTGTGAGCACTATGTGCTTCCTATTTTTTTGCCCTTTTATCACTGGAATTTATTAGCTTTCAAATTAATACAGGTATTAGTTCTAAACATGCTATGTAAGCATACAGATAGCATTAGTCACTTTCATAAGTAGTAACAATAGCACCCTAAACACACACACACGAAAATCAAGGCTTGAATGTCTTTTATATCTTACAAGAAATATAGCAACCAATATTCCATGCAGAGGTGCAGCAAATGAAGTCCTGTCAAGCAAATGGCAGGAATGACAGCAGATGTCTGGATTCCTTCATAGCTGGTTGCATAAAGGTAGCACACATATTTCACTGGAGACAAAAGCCTCTGACAAGACAGTCTTTCAGTACTTTTCATTCAGAGTTGGCATTTTTGACTGGTGTGGCACATCAGGAGGTGTTAAGATGATGAACCAGATTAATCTTGATTTAGCTTCGTTTGTACAATGAAGGCAAAGTCTACAACACTCAGTCATGGCTAAATAAAGCTACACAATTTAGCTCAAGGTGTTATTTCCAGATCAAATTCTTACAATCCAGTAAATCCAACTCTGGATTTGGACTCTGACCCAAAGCACTTATTTTTATGTCAAGCTACGCAGTTATTTAATTTCATCACAGCCAACAGAAATTAGTATCATGCAGCTCTGCTTTTTCTCTATGTAAACAAGCCATAAACTCCTTTTTGGATCTGAATAATGTATTTGATATTTCAGCCTCTATTTATTGACAAAGTCTACCTATTTCACAAGAACTGTCATAGGTAGTCAATCTCTGTGAAATAGTTTGAGGCTCTAAATTTTCCTGTGATAACCTTAATCACATTACATGCTTAGTACAGAATAAATGCTACAAAGAAAAGAAACTACTTTCCTGAACTGAGACTTTCAGAGTTTAGCAAGTTGTGAAGGACATGAGCAGTACAGTGTCTCCTGAGAAACAGGCACAAAAGAAACTGAGGACTTAACATAAAGCAACTAATAGTAAATAAAATTTCCACTTACCTGCTTCTCTATCCTAAACAACAACAGGGATGCTTTAAACAGTTCTGGTCTAAAAACCAGGACCCTGGAATATTATACAGCTGTTTACTGCTCCTTGAGGGAAGCCATGAGCAGCTGAATTAGTGTATTTTACAATAAAACTTGTGTTGAAAAGTTTCCCAGGTTAAGGCTTAAGAGAAAGACCATTTTTCTGTATACAAGCTAAGCTTTACTAATGGTCCTCTCTAGTTAAACAGAATTTTAAGAAACTCACCACTTTTCTTTTTCTTGCTTTAAAGGAAATGTTCATTTCCTTGTATTTCTTCATAGCAGTCTCCAATTTATTCTTGAGTTCAATGGCACATCTTAGCCGATCATCATTGATTCCTGCTCTCGTAAGTAGCTGCAAACCAAGAAAACAACATTCTTATTCTCTTCTAGAAATCTGAGCCAAAAACCCAGTTTTCCCTCTTAATTAATGAAACATCACAAATTCCTTTGTTTTAAAAGTAATAATTAGTGATACCAATTCTTTTTCCATCTAGACTATAAAAACTAATAGCAAGTAGTGAAGCCAGAGAATGAACAGCTATTACAAACATCTTCTGAGAGTGCCCTTCAGTAGGCCAAATTCCACACAGGAGGCTCCATGATATACTACTAACCTGATAGAGAGATGTCTAACAAAAATCAGCTGTGTTTTACTTTAAAAGACTTTGCAAAGAACCCAGTTTTAACTATCTTATAAAAAAAAAAAAAAAGAATTGCCTACAGGTACCACACCCAAGGCTGAGAGCTATCAAACAAGCTACACAGTTCCTGCAGTCTCCTTTAGTCCACTCTTAATGGAATGGAAGCCTTCTCCAATTGTTCCTGTTTCTTCAACCTTCATTTCCTTTTGGGTCACTCTCCCTCAAGCTTTACTGTATCTCAGTCCGTGTTTCACCACCTTTTTATTTAAAAATGAAGATAAAATAATTATCTCTTTATCCCACCTGAATCCAGGACTGCACTGAAGGCCAGAACTTATTTCTGAGAAGTTTGTGAGCATCCATGACACTGTTGATGATGGCAGTATTATCTTCATTCTCTTGCACTTTTATATCTGCTCAAAATGGGGAAAGAGTTAGTGCATGACATTTATGGAATCTTCATTACAGGAACTAAAGAAAGCAAATTACTCTATGACACTTGATCACTTCAGGAAAAGTTACAAACATCATAATACTTCTCTGTTCAGTATGAATTATTGTGTTACTATTCACACATGCAAAAAATCTGAGGAAAATATGAAAAGTGTTCAGTCCAGCATGTCAGAAAGATTAGTTAGGTCATCATTACTACAGAATCACCAAATAAACCACAGACAAGTTCAGTCTTACATCTTGTTCCAAGTTCAAATGAACTGGACCTTATTGTACCAATTTCTCGATATTCAATACAAAATAATCCCTACCCTGGTAGTAAAAGGGACTTGATTGCCAAAGAAGCCAAGTATGCCATTAGTAAAAATTATACTTTTCACCCATTGTTGTCAGCAAATAGAGAAGCAGATATCACCCTTACTGTCTGCACATGGAATTCCCTTAGGACAGGAATTGTAAGAGACTTCTAAAACACAAACCATCCTGATTTTTCTACAGGCAATTCATACTAGCAAAGTTATGCAAAAAAAGGTGCAATCACTTGCTAGCAAAACTACTTACTTCCTTGCATGGAAAAAGTTTCAGAAACGCTCAACTGTAAGATTTTTAAACTAGCAGCTTATTCCCCAGCTACAGAGAAAAAGAGATGAACAGCAAAGAGAAAGCAAACTGCATTTGATAAACAGATTTTTTTTAAACACAGGAGACTCATTATAGATACTATGAAGTGCTATAGTGGGCTTGCAACAACTACTATGCAAGTTCAGTCTTAGAACGTAATTAATGACATCTGCTAATCACACACCCAAAACAACTAAAAACAGTGACTAGAGGAACAAGAAACAGAAAAATAAATAAATAAATTTTTAAAAATCAAAGTGGTGTCCAGTAAACCCAGCATTTAAGTAACAGAAACAAAAGCAAAACCACAAGCACAAAACACTTCAGAAAAAGGCTGCCTCCATCTATATGTCAGAAGTTTTTTCCAGGTACCTGTGGAGACTTCAAGGTCTAGAGTATATTTATGTGAAATAAGCCCATGGTTCCTAACAAAAGTCTGGTACTCATCATCATCGAGAGCAGGGCCACTGTGCTGAATGTCCAAGCAGGTGCCTCCATCCAGCTCGTTTTGCTCAGGCTTCTCATCGACCTCTTTGTTTCCATCAGTTGTAACACAATGAGAAACAGGAAGAATGTCCTTGCTGCAGCATGGTTGCTCATCATCAATGTACCCCAAATAGGATGGGTTAATTTCCCCCCGGGAGGACAAGGGGGAGGCAGGTCCAGCCTCATTAGCAGACGTTTGTTTGCTGAGGTCCAGGTCTATGTCGTTCATCCCAAAATTGAAAGGATCTGGCATCAGAAGCTGGAAACAGTTTTCCATCTCTGTCAGTGTATCAGCAATCTCTTGAGACATTTCTATCAAGACACAATTGTTTTATAAAATTGTTAAGATACTGTAAAATGTTAATGTCTCCAGAGCAGACACAGAGATACAAAACATATATGACTGCCAAAAGAGGAATCCATTTATCCAGTGACAACTGAGCCATACAAATCTTCCTCTTCTGCAGAAATTGTCCTTATAAAAGTGACAATATCTAAGCAGGAAATCTAGAATTTCCTGAGCCAGGCATATAGAATCAGGGCACCTCCTTTCCTTATCCTCTCTAAAATTTCAGTATGTAAAGATGACTAAAGTGCTTCATAGAATTTGAAAGAAAACAAGGCTCAATGAGATATTCTTAGTGATGTTGGTGGGTATTCATTTTACAGCCATGAATTTTATAGCTGTGTGTAGGAATAGCCATGAATGTTATTATTGCTCAAAGAGATGCTACTGATACAAATTACTTTAAGAAAGTTAAATCTCTTTAAAATTCCATTCTCGTGCATGAAAACATTGCCAGCATGCAGAATAAATGCAGACACAATTGCATGCATTACATACACCAAAGTAATTTAATTAAGTAACCCTTTATAACTGCAGCATAATATACTTATTATCTCTGTTGTTCTTTGGGATGACAGAAATGTGTCTGCTATGCATATATTGATCAGAGACTTGGGCCTCAGTTACATTTTCTAGTTGCACTTTTCACAGTTCTCCTACACTGCATCCAGGATTCCTGTGCAGACCACAGCCTCTATTTCTGGAACACAATCCCTGTATATATAATATAAGTAATGCCAACAAGGCATTGGGAAGTCTGTGCCTAACAGAAATTAAGTCACTAGCTCCAAAAGGTCTCATGATTCGTTTATTTGAGGTGATGCACTCATACTTTACTGAATTAAATACCAGATATTTACTTGATAACATCTTCTTTCTTTTCCATCTCTTCCTACTGAACTCAGTCACTTCTTTCCCCTGGTATTCTCTAGGTGAGAGAGGAGGATTGAGGGCCAACAAATGCAGTATTTCTACTTTCTGTGGTCAGATATTATCTGGATAGCTGTTTCCTCAGAATTTATTTTATATAACCTTAAAAAAAGATTGCTTTAAAAACAAACAAAAAACCAAACCGATTTTAGTTCAAAAAGCAACCAACCTTCCATTTCTTTTTCAGTTCTTTTGACTTTTTCTTTGTAAATGTTCTCCAGTCGTTTTTGCTTCTCCTCTTCCCTCCTCCTTTCAGCCACAGTTCTGGCATGCACATCTTGAAAATCCACCTAAGGAGGAAATTAAGAAAAAAGTGTAACACTCCTCGTAAGAAATATATAGAAAATCTATTTCCTAAGATCCTTATCTTTGGTGAAAAACCCTGTAACATCAGCGATCAGCCAGAAGCTCAGCAGCATTTCCTTTTATCTTTTCTCCCCCTTGAATCAATAACTACAGCAATTGTGAACAGAGTTTTTACTCCTGCTAATAATAAAGGACTGTTGGGAATCAATGGCTTTCAAAAGGAAATCATAAGGTAGAAAAAACAAACCCCTTAGATTTTCACATCCAGAGTACAGAAACAAACTGGGAGACTTCTGTCACAGCACTGGAGACAAGGAGTTAGGGAGAATCAGCAGGAAGAGACTATGCAGGGTAGATATTAAGATTACATGAAAATATCACACTAGGTCCACCAGGAAATTTAGGAAAATTAGTAAGCACTATAACAACTAGTATATATATATGTTACAAAATAACTTTTTAAGAAAGTAGAAGAGAAGACCTTCAAATTTATTACAAAAGACCAAATCTGTGATTTTTCAATTACATTGTTGGATTTTGATGTTGAAGGGAAAAAACGTTCAATCTCATTTCCCTATGGCTGAATTATAAACATTAATCTGAACAACTCAAAAAACTTAAAATACTAGCAGTATTTTGGGGTTTTTTTTAGTTAGGTCTTAAAAGGGATTGAAAATAAAAAAAAAAAAAAATCACTCCTGTTTTAAAGAAGGGAGGCTTGATTGCATTGATGCAGAAGGAAACCCTTTTGAAAACCACAGAATTTCCTTTGATTGCTACCACATAACTTTTATGAACTGCCAGACAGACAATGCTGAGTGCTGAGCAAGCCTGCACTTTGCTGATTCTGCAGCCCATAGACTTTCTGGTGCAATGTCTCCATCACAAGCACTCACTGAAAGTTTGTTACTCCTGTCACTGTTAGATTATCAAGCATGTCAACATCCAGTAGTGGCTCTCAACTTAAAACAAAGTTTTAGAATCACACAAATGTTTTTATCTAACAGCTGACAGAGAAACTGGCATGGAGGGTCTCCTCCTCACCAATCCGGGTTTTTTAGTAGGGAAGGGGTGGGCAGAAGGGTGGTAGGGAAAAGATCTGGTTTCACAACCTGCTGCATCATGTGGATCACCAGTGTGAGCTGTCTTGGTTTTCAGGACCCAGTCTTCCTACAGGTTTGCACAGCTCCCCACACAGAATTGGGAAAAACAGATCCACCCAAAGAGCAACACTACCCACAAAAGCAGAACAAAGATACAGAACCCAGGAACTACAGCCACCATTTGCTGGCAATCAGACTGGACTGCACAGAATACCAGACACAGCTACAGCTTCCTAAAGTACAACTTCTACCTCATGCCAGAGTACCTACACTGGAGTCATTTGCCTATTCTTTCCCATTCTCTTACCAAAAGGACCATCAAGCCTTTTATTGCTGGTCTGCAATCATGGAACTAAATGTATGAGGAGCAAAAACTTCTCAACTGAAAGGATGCTAAGCAGCAGGCTCAGACAATTACTGCAACTTTTGTGAAAATACTGGGATACAGCAGCAGTATACTCTGCATGGATCTGTTTGAAATCCTGTTATGTAATCCCATCCATGCATTCCTCAGATACAAAGATACTACAAGTCATGTCCCCAAATATGCAAACATTTAGAAACAGGTGAATTTTTTTCTTAACTTTGATACAAGAGTTTAAAAATAATTCCATTCATGTATACTGAAGCATTATTTGCTCCTAAAGCCAAACACTTGTAGAGGCACCTGCTTGGTACCTACTACTATTGACCTACTAACATTAAAAGACTGAGGAGCTCTCTAGCTTCACACCCTGAAAGAGAGCAGCTGTCATCTTCTGATTGTGTATAAAGTGATTTTGGTGATCATTAAGAAAAAAACAACCAAAACCCAACCATGGACTACACACAGAGCTAACACTCCAACCAAGTTGCCCTGTACTACTGTACCAAACCTGTAAAAGTCAGCAGCTGATGTATTTTACTACAAAACAGCAGCAAATGCCTCCTGAAAACTTTTGGTTGCTTCTCACACTTCAAGTATGAAACTGGCAAAAGGCCAGTTGGCTCATAACAAGTCTTTAAGTACAAGAGTTACCAAACTACCCGAGATTGCTTCTATTAGTATTAATGCCTGTAGAGGAAATCAAATTCAGCTGCTCCATAAAAAAGCACAGCTTATACCAAAACATGGAGAGGGCTCCCCCAGTTGTTACTGGGGAGCAGTCAGTGACCACAGGAGCACAAACAGACCTGCCAAAATTCAGCAAAGTTGTACACTTGTGTTTAACTGTGTGAAACTGTATTATGTGTTAAAGCCCCCTTGTCTCAGTCTTGCACTTCTTGTGACTGTCATTTAGTTTTCTTCCCTTCTTAAACAAGATAAAAAAGGGTAATTCAAAGACAATAATCTTTTGTGAGAAGATGCCAAAACCTGTGTAAAGAACCAGCACAGCACAGTTCAGTAGGGAACACCATTACCTTACTATAAAAACCAGAACAACAGAAATACATCACGTATCACAAAAGATTTTAATCTATTGTCAGGAATCTGTCTTTCTGAAGAGAAAGAAAATCAGTATGTTTACTGAAAGCCTGTTATTATCATTGTAGGTAGTGTGAATGCTAGACTAGTGTTCCAAATTTCACTGTTGCACAGACAGACTAAAACAGTAGAATGTTCCAAACACAGTAACTTGAAGTGACATCTAAAAGCTAAGGTTTACATGAAATTTCTCTTTCATAAAATGTCTTTTCTGGCACAGTAACACTGCAGTTGAGGGTGGCAGGCACGAACAGTTGCAAAGTTGTACAGCAAATGGGACCTAGAACTGGCCAGTTCAGTACTGAAATTGGGCTAGTTTAAACTGGCATAGAAAGATTAAATAACTGTTTATCCTCAGTTTAAGGCATGACCATGACTGCCCTTCCCAAAAGAGCTAAACCTTGGGGCTGCAGTCAGGAATCAGAGGGTGAAAGCCAGCTGGTGAGCAATACTGGCACCCGGTAAAAGGCAGAGCCCAGCTGTGAGTACAAGACTGGGATTTCCAAAACCTACAGTATTGCAAGATGAACACAAAGAAAGCCTGGGGTTTGTTTTCCAAAGATCATGCTCAACAGGAGGTCGCCTACAGGCAATGAATGTCGTTTCCTACAGCGTTTTTTTCTACATTTATTGGTTGCCTTACTCCGAACATCTGGTGGTCATCACCTAACACCACAGAGTGGAGCAGAAGCGCAGAGTACCTTCTTGTTCCGCTTTAGGAAGTGGTATCCCAGGGAAAGCTGCTTGTAGGCCTCCCCGTATTTCTCGTGCCAGTCCTGCACTGCCTTGATGGCCGCTCTCCTCAGCTTCTGCGCCACCTCCTTGGGCGGGGGAAGCGGCTGCTCGTGGTCTATCCCCACCGTGAGCTCCAGGAACTCCTGGAAGTTGGAGATGAGCAGCGTCCTGAACTGGTGTGACCTGGAGAAGAGCTCCTGCACCACCTGGAAGGCGGAGAAGCGCATCTCGGCGTGCTCCTCTTGGAGCCGCGTCAGCAGCAGGTGGTAGGCGTGGCTGATGTGCTCCTCCGACGACCTGAGCACGGAGAAAACGAAGAAAAAGGAGGGGGAGATATTTAAAAAGAGGCTCGGCATGTAAAAACCTAAGTTTGGGGACGTTATTTATTTTAAATTTTAAGTGAGCGGCTTTTGTGCTGGCAGCACGCAGTCCCCAGAGCAGGCCCCTGGAACGCTCTCGGGGCGGCTCTGCCCGGGACTACTGGCCCGGGGACAACGAGCGGGGTCCGGCTCTGTCCCTCCCTCCCTCCGGCCGTACTTGCAGATCTTCTTCAGCTCCTTCATCCTGCCAGGCTCCAGCCGCGGCTCCCCCGAGGTGGTGAGCTCCTCCACCAGCTCAGCCAGGCGCTGGTCCATCTCCACAAGCACCGAGACACTGGAGCTGCCGGGACACCCGGCCCTAAGGTCCCTCAAGCCGGGGGAGCCCTGGCCGGGAACCACCAGCGACGAGAGGCCCGGCCGCGACTGGGCGGCGCCATCTTCCGGGCCGCGGCGGAGCCCCGCCCCCGAGGAAACCCCGCCCCCGAGGAAACCCCGCCTCTTGTGTAGGCCCCGCCCCTCATGTGCACACTCCCTTCGGGGCCACACCCACAGGGAGCACCGCCCACCGAGTGCTGAGGCCACGCCCCCATATAAAATCACACCTCCCTGGGTGAGCCCGGCCCCTTTGGGAGGCTGCTCCCCCCGCCCCGCAGCCCCCCCCCCCCCCCCCCCCCCCCCCCCCCCCGCCGCTTCCGCACGGCGCCGCCCACGTGACCTACCGGCACCCGGAAGCGCGGCTGGGGAATGGGGAAGCTTTAAAGGGGCCGCGGCTCGGTTTTGTGTGAGGGGATGGCTAACCCCTCATTGTCCACAGGGCTGGGCCTTTCTGAGGGGTGAGCAGCCAGCACACAGCGCCGCTGCTTATCATAGGGTCAGTTACACCTCCGAGATCATCGACACCAACCAAACACCACCACTCCAGTCTTTCCTTAAGCACCCTCAGGGACGGTGACTGCTATCTCCCTGGGCAGCCCGTTCCAAGGTCCAGTCACCCCTTCTGTGAAGAAATTCCTCCTAATGTCCAACCTAAACCTCTCCTGGTGCGCCTTAAAACTGTCCTGCCGTCCTGTCACTGCCTGGGAGCAGAGCCCGATCCCCTCCTGGCCACCAGAAGCCCCCCAAGCCTCCTTTTCTCCAGGCTGAGCCCCCTCAGCTGCTCCTCACAGCCACTGTGCTCCAGCTCTGTCCCCATCTCCAGACAGGCTCCAGCACCTCAGGGGCCTTCTTGTCATGAGGGGCCCAAGGCTGGACGCTGCTGTGCCACCACCAAAGTGTCCCTGTGTGCAATCCTCACAGGCCTGGTTCAGCTATGGGACATGGCAGGACTCCCCTGGATTCATTGCTGGCAGACCCTGCAGTTCTGGGTGCTCAATTACAAGTGAAAGTGCCGCTTAACCACTGAGAATAAACAAGACTTTGGAGGGGCCAGCTCTGAACATCCTAAAGAAGGGAGAAATCTAAAATACCTGTTCCCGTTTGAAGATGTTGTCAGCTAATTGACAGGTATTTCCATTAATCCGCAGTGTTGGAAGCGATCTATGTGGATTGGTGCTGCAGCTGTGTCTGCTGGCTCCTGTGATCGGGAAAAATGGCATTGAACAGTTTTCACTTGAAATGGACTCACGTCATCACCAGATTTACTGCAGTGAATGAATACATGCATTTTGCAGTGGCTCTGCTATTTCTGACTCAATGCATGAAACCAATGACATCCTACTTTTTAATAATGTTTATCCTTTCCCCTGTTTATTGCCTTTCATGAAACACAGTGCATTTCTATGTGAAAGTCAAGTAGAGCAGCACAGCTCATCTTTAAAGTTTTGATCAGTTTGCTGTTTCACTGTTTATATCTCTTTCTTTTCTTCATTTGATTGAAAGTGCCAGAACAACTGCCTTCTGTTAGGGTATGACTTGCAAAAGGAGCATTGCTGTGCTATCTGGAAATGGAATTTCAAAATGAGCCTCAAGCAACAGACTTAGCATCTACAAAGGCACTGATTTCATACTTCTGCATGATGTTTAAAGAAATCCCTGCAAGGAGCCATATGGTTTTGCAAAGAATCAGTTGATGAATGAATGAATGAGTGCTGAGTTATGTAACTCATTCATGATAGTCCCTTAGGCAAATCCCAGTGAGAGCCAGGCTATTTATTTATTTATTTATAAAAATCAAAGAGAATTACATAAAATTATGTTGGCTTGAGTTGATGAGTCTCCTTTTCCCTTCTGGTTTTTAATGAACATGGCAAATATCCACCATTCAGTCATTTCCATATTCTCTTCATCTGGACCAGCCTGATAAAAGGCTGAAGAGAGCCTGAACACTGAAAAATTAATTCTGCTGCAAAAGTCACAAACCTCTGCACCTGCATTGATTTTCCCCAGCTGGTCTGGGCTCTTCCATGGAGGGGAACACAGAACACTGTGGAGTGCAGAGGCAGAGCTGAACACCAGCTGATATCCCTTCAGAGCCTCAGAGTTCAATGGTTTTGATTTTTTTTTTTTTTGTTTGTTTTCACCTGGTTTCAGCAAAGCCTGGATCTGTAGCTTCATGTTACATGGATTGTTGAATCAAGGAGTTGCATTTCTTACATCTGTACTGAGACATCAGCAAGAGCAACGTGGTGACACTTTGTGAGTGCTCCAAAGTGAGTGACACCTTGCAGGAGCACAGACTCTTCCAGAAACATTGTCCTGTCCACCACATTTCCAGAATACCCAACACTATCATCGTTGGCAGGAGGCATTTCCAATGGGAATGTTCTCCTACAGGAAGGGATCTCCAACAGGACCAGTTGGTCCATCCAGAGATCATCTTCAGTTGGTCCACTACCTTTGACCAAACACATAGGCAAAGAAAAACTCCAGAATTTTGTCCACTGACAATGATTTGGGTGTTCTTACATTAAAGAAAAACTACTTATTCCATCACAAATTTAAAAGGTCAAACTGATGGCTTTAGGAAGGATTATTTCAGACTTTGTGCAATACTAAATTATCTGGTTTAGTTTTTTTTTATAAAAGAAACATCTCAGTAGGAGACAGTTCCACCATTTTACTAGATGATGCTAAGGGTTGTTTCCAGCTTTGCAATAAAGGAGAATGTCAGTCAAAAAGAAACCCCCCTGAACTTTTAAGATGGCTGTATTCAGCTTAATGACATGAAATTAAAAAGGAGGATTTCTTTCGCTGCCAAAATTGAACTTAGGCAAAGAAAGGCTTCCCTACAAACAATTTGGAGTTAAAATAACTTCTGTTGTGGGTCTGAAGATACAGAAACATGATAAACACTTATATTGAATTGTCAGAGTTTGTGCCAGTTGGGTTGTAAAGAAAATGACCTTCTATGTGAGCTGAATAGATGCTGAACCACCAGTTTGAGTTGAGCAAAAGGGTGACAGATATTTCAAAGCTCTGACCTACTTTGTAAGGGATAAAGACTATATTTAAACAGATGTTCTCAAAGGGGAAATAGTCTATTCATTAAACCATCAATAATGCAAGGCCAAAGGTACTTGGTGACCTCCTCTAATTACGTGAAATAGAGACTGTGACAACACTTCAGCCTAGTGTAACGTTTTATAATTCTGTCATAGGAGGAGATGAATGAACCTGCTCTGTGTGGCCTAGATCACTAATTAAATATCCACTTGTGAGTTGGATGGAGCAGCAATAGCTATAGGAGAACCATCACAAATCAAGGAGCACCTTCCTATACATATCTTGTATTCATGTCCAGAATAATTAAAAAAAATGATTCTGCAGCAATTCCTGAAACTGCACACCAATGTGGACGCACTTGATTAGTATCAATGAGGATAATTTTTTTCTTCACTGGAATATCTGTGCAGACTCGAAGTTGAGCTTAATGAGCATTTTTATGTATTAGACAATATATATCCACACCAGAAGATAACATTTCTACATGAATGCACCCAAAAAAGACCAAGGCACACCCCACTGCACTGCCCAGGGGTGTCTTGGGGGGTCAGGGGGATACCAGCCTTTAAGGCAGGACTCAGATCAGATGGTGCAGAAAAGGAGCAGCTTGAAGTTGTTAACGTGTAGAAAAGGAGACTGCAGAGGAAAATAAGTCCCTCAAGGCTACCAAAAGAGGAAATCCAGCCCAAATTCTGCATGAAGACCCTCTGATGCTAAATCATACAGAGACAGAAATGGCACTTTCCTGTGTGTGTAAATACTGCTTTCAAACATTTGGTGTTAGCAGAAATGTCTTAAAAGACCTGAAGAGGCTGGTTTGGGTGTCACATCGACTCACTGATGGCACTGTTCAGAAGCTTCTTCTGCCTGATGGATGCCTGAGCTGTCCCATCCTTGGAGAGCCTTAGGCTGTAACAGACTGCAGTAGCTCAAGCTGTTTTCTCAAAATGAGAGACTACATGGAGCTGTGGCTCAGATACCATGTTAATTCCTTTTTTATTTTTCTTCCAAGGATGTGGAAAGGAGAGAACTGCTCTGAAGCTGCTAAAAGCTGCAGGGCTGCCTCCAGTTAAAGGGGAGTGAAGGCCATTCCTGATGAGGATCTGCTGTCACCGTTCAGACAGGGATGGGTGCTGGGTCTGTGTGTGTCTCTCAGCCTTTGCACACCACTGCACAAGCACTGTCTGCTCTGGGGTTTGCCACTGCAGATCCCTCTGTCCTGTTCACACATCAGGCAGCTTGGACCCTCAGTGACACTGCCATCACTCACTCACAGGAACGAGTCCTCAGCCTTACATCCAAATCCACCACACCCCTCAGCACCAGGACAATGCCCCAACTTTTATTTGCAGTGAGCAAGAAAGCCTCATGGATCCAAACGAGCTTTTCCTGGGAATTTCTCTCACTGTTATAATAAAAGAATGCCTTGTCTCTATGAAGAGATTATTTATACAGGTCAGCTTTTGCAGGCAGGAGGAAAGTCCCTGGCTTGACAAGGTAGTTGGGACAAAAATGAGTACAAAGACCACAGTTGAGAGGAAAGGAAATGTTGAAGTATAACTAAGAGGAAGAAGAAAGTGTCTTGAAAAGCAGGAGGTAGCAAGTCTTGTGAAGTGTCTGTAGCTATTTATTTATGCTTTTAAGGAGGTATGTTGCACTTCTGTGACTCAATACCTATGTTGGAGCAGAATGGGAAAATATTTATTCATATTTCATGTATTTGGACCCCTTTGCAGCAAGTGCGTCACGACAGTTCCACTGACCAACATTCTTTTATATTTTGCACTACTAGGATTCCTAAATGTTTCACAATTTTTTAGGCAATTGAACCTCAGTAAAGCTCGGAATGAGACACACAGGTACAAACACACAGGATCCCATCCCTGGAGCTGCAGCACCTCCTACAGG